ACCATAGGTGACGCTTTAAAAACTTTTACCGCTCATCAGTTTAGTGTTATCAGTGATTGATAGCCCTAGAATTATTGCTCTCATTCCGACATTCGCGACGATATGTAACATGTGCGGCGTAATAGGCGCAATCGTCGTTTTTGCACGTATGCGCACCCAACGCCTGTTTGCATGCGTGTATGTATGGGTGGGGACTTTATGTGTAACTTTAAAAACTTTTTTATGTGTAACTTTACATTTTGGGGGGGGGGACTTTAATTTTTTTTTTCCTATTTTTGTTTTTACTTAACTTTATTGCTATCCCATAGGGGCTAAGAAACCCCCTTATGTGATAGCAAAAGAACTGACCGGTCCTCTTTATGGAGACATCAGGGGTCTCCAAGACCCCTAATGTCACCTAGGACCCCCCTGAAGAAGCTGATGAAGCACAGATCTGCTTCATCAGCTTCTCTCCAGCATCTGAACCTGGAGAGTGACACAAGAATGCGGAAGTGATGTAATAGGGGACCGGAGGGAGTTCGTGTACCGATCGCCCTCTGATCCCCTGTGACAGAGGCACTATGCTGGTCCCGGGCTCGCACCGAGCACAGCGGAGCCCGGGGCCAGCGTGACAGCGGGAGGGGGGGAGGGCGCACATACCGGGACCTCATACATCGCTTGTATGATAACAGGCATCGCTGCCTGTTTTTAAATATCGGGTATTTCCCGCTCGCGCGCGCCCAGCGGCACGCGCGAGGGGGCGTGGCTGAGCGGACGTCTAAAGACGCTCGCTCAGATCTAGAAAGCTCCTGGCCGGCTGTTTTTTACAACGGCCGGCCGGGAAGTGGTTAAGGAAAAATTACTGAAAATGTTCTCCTATATTAAATTATAAAACATTAATATTTACCCAATTTTTGGTAAAATATAAAAGCCGGGGTCACGTCGGGTAAAAAGACACCAAACATGTCAAGCCTTAAAATTGTGTGCACGGAGAGGAGAGAAGGAGAAGGGAGCATTGAGCTGGAGAGTGGCTTGCCTTGCTGAGCCTGTGTGTTTGTGGAGACAGACACAGCTTACTAGCAAACACAAGGGTGGCTTCATAAGACCCTGCAAGGGAAAGGAGCCACCCTAAAACAGGGTGCCAGTGCTCAGGGGACCAGCTGATTCTGCAGTAAACTAAAACTTTTAAACATCAAGGAGCAGCAACCTTTGTAAGTGATTTAATCAGTATTTGAAATAGCTTAAAAACCTTTTGACTTAAATATCACTTATGTGCAATATAATGCAACGCACAAGAAGAGCAAAGTGTGATTGGGCCCTGGGGATCTGAGCACAAGCAAATTTTCTAGGCTGAAGTCACACCCACTTCTTTCTATTTACAGCAGGAGCCAAAATACATAATTGTTTACCTCCTTGTACTGTGTAACATGTTGAGCGGCATTTAAATGCAGCATGTTCCATTTTTACTCAGCACACAACAACACAACACATGGGTGTTAACTGACCCTATTGGAATCAATGGATATAATGCTTGTTATTGCATTGGGCCTGCATGAAGCAAGGCAGCCAATGCACATGGTATGAGTGGGCCATTACTGTGTACCACCACATTGTATAATACACCCCACTGTGGGGGGTTTTTCCCCTTTTTTTGATAAATGTGCAGTGTTGTAATTTTTAAACATAATCTGACTCTGAGAATTCCAGGGTATCCCTTGGTGATATAATTGACCAGAACAGGTCATTTTATGATAATTGAAGAAAAATGTTTCAACAAACAGAAAAAAGTGGGGCTCTCCATAATATTCTAACCAAACCCCTATCCACGCATGTAGCATGAACTTATACATAGTAAATTGAATATCTCTCTCTCTCTTTTCCCCATTAGTAATGCTCTTGGGTATTGTGGAACCCTTTGTTGAGCGCTCTGCAACGCAATCCCTTATTCGCCTACTATGCTTTTATTCCTATAAAGCTGTTTTGCTACATTGGAAACAACTCCGGCTTCCTTCAGTTGACTTAGTTCTAAATTTAGTGGAGGACGTGATTCCCAAATACAAACTGATTTATGAAGCCAGAGCCTGCCCTAAGAAATTTACCAAAGTGTGGGGTTCATGACTTGGGTCTATGCTTCTTGGTGAGAAAACAAAAACAAGTGGCGCCTTCCCTAGAGTAGATACATTTAAAAAAAATTTTGTGACAGCACAGTAGGCCTGGGTTTACGCGAGGAAGGGGGCGTGGCCCCAAAAACGCGTAAACCCAGGCATACTGTGCTGTCACATAGGAACCACCATTTGTGCAGCTCTCTTATTCTGCTCTTGTTTTTTGCCAAGACTGAGGATTACCCTTTGATTTGAAGGCGCAATGTTACCTACTCTTTTGTGAGTATCATTCCATTTTTGGCATTTATAAAACAAAAATGTATCTACTCTAGGGAAGGCACCCCTTGTTTTTGTTTTCTCATCAGATATTACAGTCTCCCTGACTGATGTGGGGCAGCGACCTGTAGAACCTCTGCATATATATTTCTTCAGTGGAGTGGTCATCTCTGGCGCTATTGGTTTTTATTTTTATTTCTATGCTTCTTGGTGCGTGAACATGGAGCATATCTGTTGCTTTTAATCTGCTGTTCCTTTGCTGTTGTGGTTCACCCCTTTTTTGATGGTTCAATTGTGGAGGGGGGTAGGATTGGTAGTGTGTGTGTTTGGTATGTGTGATGTTCGTGTCTGTTTCTTCCTTATTACTGCAACCTGCTTGTTGCTTGTTTTGGGGTGTGTTGTGCCTCTCTCTTGTGTGTTCTTTACTTGTTTATTAAAAATGGGGAAAAAAAAAAGATTCCCATGTACTTCCTCAATGCAATGAGACAATTTCAGTATATGCACTTCCTGATGACACCACTCTAACTATATCTATGGCAAAGTGCAAGCACCTGTGCTTCTCTTCAAATCAATTAAATTGTCCCTGGGAAGAACCAAGGATCTTTGTCATTCAGCTCTCAAATGCCAGAGCCTGTGCAGGTCTCTGAGCACCTTGAATTGCATAGTAAAGGAGCTGTAAAGTCACAGCACATATTGCTGCATTGCGTCCTGTTATAACATCAGTATTGTAATAGGAATACATTTCTTTGATATGTATTATATTTGATAATGCAATCAAAGCTTACTTTTATGTAGTGAGTGCTGCCCTCTGTCTGCCCATCACTTTCAACAATTTCCTGAATTCCCAGCGTGCATTTTATCTCTTTCCTGCTGCTTGATGTGATGCAATCTCAATTCCTTAAGACTATCATGCATTGCTTTCAGCAAGCAATAATAATGTTGCATTGTTCAGATGTTGAGTTGTAGTTCAGTGAAATTGTCTCAGTGCATTGAGTAAGTTTACAAACGTCTAGATAGATATGAATATTAGGAGTGGCATCGAAATTATGGAAATTCAATGTAAAAATACATATTTATTTTTAGTTTTTCACCATAGGTAACCTTTAAATGAGAGGGAAGGGGCTTAGAAGGTCAGGTGAAGGAATTTATCTCAATAAGAAGAAGTTTAAAATATCCTCATTGTTAAATGTTGTGTTTTGTCTGTACTGAGATGGCCCAGCATCATAAAGTGTTATGCGTATGCTTACATCACAAAATGTAATAAGATGCAGTGAATAAATAACACAAGCAAAAGTATAATAGGGAAGGAATTGGGGATCAAATAAAGGGGTTCAGTTACTATGGATGATAAACGTCATATACATAAAAAGAGGCAGTAAGGAAAAGGATCGAAACCAGGCGTTGTAGGCTTTATTAGAAACATACCACAATATTTAGTTGTTGAAATGTTCTTCTTGGTCCATGATATACAAAACGGAAGTATTCTGATTGCTGTGCTATATTAAAGATGCAAAAATCATCCAGACAATTATTGCTGCTAGCAAAGCCTATTACACTGAAGACACACACATTTCAGTTTTATAGTCTGCACTAATAAACTCATCAAACAGAGACGCCACAGCTCAATTTTATTGAAATTATAGTTTGCCTCACAATTCCTGGCAATCCTGTACCATGCTAGTTATGCTAACAATCAGATGGACAAATAAACTGAATATTGGCAACATAATTATATATATGAGCTCTGCAATTGTTACCGTTACAACAGTCCTGCTCTACATGAAGGCTGTTGGCTGGCCTGATGTATTCCTTCAATTGCCAGAAATCCCTTAAAATATTGAACATGATACAGAATATTTAATTTCCTAGCATCTGTTCTCTCTTTCTGCTTCTCTTGCAGGGTTAAAGCGCCCTCTTATGGGGTTTACCTTTCATTTATAACAATAAGTTTTAGTTACAGTGTATTCAAACCCAACAAAAAAATGAACATACTGCATCTTGCCAGTCCCTAGATGTGGAGAATGCAATAGTTGAAGGCTTTTTAGGATTGTTTTCCTTTTTTTTTCAACTGGTGATCCTGCCAGTAACACACTTCTTGTGTTAGGCCTCATTCAGATGGGCTTCAGTCTCTAGTGCCCTCTGAGAAGCGATCCACCCTGAAAAGCGATCCATGGAGGATTGCTTTTCAGAGGGCGGTGGAAGAACGGCTGCCTGGTGTTCAGAAGGCGATACTGTTAAATCCTGAATGTAGAGTTTTTTAAAATCCCAATGGGGATTACTGGGCCGCAACAGTCCCATTCATTTCAATTGCCGCATTTGACTAGCGGCACCGCCAGTCAACTGTAACATGCTGTATACTTTGTGCTGTGCCATAGCATCTCGGCTGTGGCAATGTATAAAGCACAGTGCGGCTGAAGTGCTACCATTGCAGGTGACAGCTAGCGGGCAGTAAAACCCCACATCAACTGTATGGTTTTAATGCCCCTTCACTGCTCGTGTGAACAAGGTCTAAGGGTGGCAACTCTCATTCACCAGCTGTGTAAGAGCAACAGCGTTACTCTAGGTCAAGAAGTGTAATAGGAACTACCGAATACCTCTCCATCTCCTCATCTCCATAAACATACGAGTGAGGTGTCCTGTAGCTCACAGAGGTAAACTGGGAAGGGCTAATAACACTACTTGAGAAAACACTACAGAATGCAAAAGAACTCAGGACAGCACTGATTTAACAGACCAAAAGGGAGCAAATAAGAAAAGTTCTTTGTAAGGTTTTACATATACTTAAAATTTTGTTTAAAATGATCATGTATTTAATAAAATAAAATTTTCCACGTTTCACATCATCTAGTTGCTTGTTGTTTCTATTATTCATTGTGTACAGTTATCAAATTTATTCGAAGTTATCTTATTTAACGTTTGTAAAGGCTTGAAATATCTGTGAGCAGGACAAATTGTACCACAAAGGGTCTTATGCAGCAGGCAAAAAAGGAAGTGCACATACATGTAATGAATCATGGGGAAAATAAGCAATCTCAGAAATATCTTCTTTTCATATAGAGACTGTTTTATAGAACTTTAGTGCATTGGTTATACAACCTATAATAAACAAGAAGAAGAACAAACCGAAAGTAGTAATAACATAATAATAGGCAGAAAACTTTTTTCATACTGACCTGACCACATAGTGCCAGGGATCCAAGAAACCAGACAGACATTAAAAGTGCAGGTTAAAAGATAAAGTAGTGTATTGAAAATAACAATAAACAAAATGGCCAAAAACAATGGAAAAAGTCCAGAATGTTGTCGGTGCCAAGCCAGAGGTCAGATGCCAACGCAGGTAGTCACCCGAACCAGGCCAGGGAACACTGAGAGCAGGATGAACGAAAACCATAGCTGGAGTCAGGAACCAGGTGGTTATCACTTCTGACTTGCAGCACTGGTGGTCCCCGGTTCGAATCCTGATCAGGGCACCATATTCCCTGATCAAGAGTTTACATGTTCTCCCTGTACTTGCGTGGGCTTCTTCCCACACTCCAAAGGTCAGTTGGCACCTGGCTAAATCAGACCTGTATGTATGCATTTAAGATAGGGATCTTACACTGTAAGCCCCTCAAGGGCAGGGACGGAATGTGAATGTGCAATGTAAAGTGCTGCATAAATAGCCTGTGCTTTATGAATATCTGTGATAAAAATAAATAAATATACAGCTTCTAGGCACAGCATTTTGTAACCCCATATGCTCACTAAAGGCAACTGCCATAGTTGTTTTCCAAAAGACCCCTGACTGATTACTCAATGTGATATAAGATGACCATGAGCATAATAGTGTCAAATACAATTTATGAAATGCTCTGAAAGCTCTACATTTGTGCAGCTGCACAGAGGCCCTCTGGTACTCAGGGGCCAATATATACTATGTGTGGGTCAGTCAGGTACTGGGACCCCCTGCCTCTGTCACAGACCTAGACAATGCTTACTACAAGAAGCAGGAGGCATTCTTCATGATGCCTGTTTACTGGTTTGTAATATTTAAGCGGTGTCGGTCATCCTGCACACCATCACTGGGACATACAGAATGCTTCACCAGTTTCCTCTTCACATCATTTGGACTTGAAAAGGAATGGTTACTGTTCCTTTTCAGTTTAGTATTATGTACCCTGAGAGGCTCTTTATAGTTACAAAGTTGACTACCACATCTCTAAACACTTAGCCTTAGTGAACTTTAATGTTAGCTGTGTCAAAGGCAATATGATGTGCAAAGTGCTATAATGTATAACAACCCAATTTCATTTTAAGTAATTTTAAGTAATTTTTTAAAGTAATATAATGAAAGGAATAATTCTGGTTAGCTGTTACTAGATTTTGCACACTGCTGTGACTTATTGTATAAAGTAAAATGTAAAAAAAGTATTTTAGTGGTACTTGTTGGGGTGCTCCCAAACAACATGTCTTCGAACCCAAGCCAAAAATATACTGGTAAACAAAATATGTTTTAAAAAAGTTTTTATTAACTGAAATAAATAACAAAGACCATACTGACAGCAAAATAATTTATATATAAAAATGGCACAAGATAACTTTTTTAAAGAAATAACAAGTAAAAGACTACTGCAGGTGTTGGGAGTTGTTTTATGAGGAAACACATAATCCCACTTTACTGCTAAAAAGTCAACCTCGTTCTTATATTGTAAAACCCCAATCTGGACAGAATGCAGAGCTGTTATAATAAAAACTGTACCTGTTACGCTAAAATAAATAATCCTAATGATTACAAAAAATTATATATGAACACACAAAAAGAAGCATGCTAGGAACTTCATATTCTCCATAATATATTATCCACATTCTATTACCATTAACATACCTTGACATCTGTATTACAGATACAAAATACACCATACTACTGTATTGTATTTTTGTTTATAATTTAATATTACTCAGCATTCACTTTTTCTTACTGGTCTTGGCCAAAACCATTTGCTATACACTCTTCACAGAAGGTTATGCTGGATGGCCCAGATGAGCAGCTGCACTCCACTGGCCTGCTTGTATGAGGAGTGTCCCGGGTGTACAGGACATTATCGTCATGCAACATAGCTTTGCTTTGCATTAACAAAGAAGTAACTTTTTCTTCTGCTCTGTCTTTTCTGGTGTTGCCTAAAAATGTCACCTCTGATTGGCTGCATTCTGTTTCCTTCTTTCTTTCATATACAATAATGGCATCATCCATGGTTTCATCTGTCTCCACAGGATCATTGGAAAGGCTACCGTGCAAAGGCCACATGCCAGGTGAAATGAGCATCAGTGACTTTGGGTGGTCCTCACTGGACTTTTCAGAAGCCGTACAGTTTTCTATTCTTTTCAAAACCTAAATAAACATTAAAGTAGTATTAAACTCTCAAACTTTTTTCTATAATAATCGAAATAAAGCAATTGCACATTGTCCATCAAAGTATTTGTTTAAATTTTTGCCCAAGAACTTCCAGTTATCATGTTTCCAAAGAACTGACTCCAACTCTCTCAGTTCAGCTTCCCTGAACTTCCTGTCCTGTACTGTCCATCTACTAGCTTGGAAAAGGGAGGAGAGGGGAAGGAAGGGGAGCAGGGGTGAGGGGAGAGTTCTGCCTTGCTGCTTCCTGTGTGTTTGTGGAGACAAGCAAAGCTTACCAGCACAAACATTTTGACTTTAATATCACTTTAACAAAGAATCTTTTTGTTTTAAGAATAAATAAATTAGCCATCAGCTCATATTAGGGAGACAAAGATTATACCCCTTACCTCATTTATTGTGGGCCTCTGTCTGGCACGCATTGCTGCACTATCAATTGATACACCCAGAAGATTTTTCAGTACACCACAAGGCCACTTGCTTGTCTTCATATCCTTAAAATGGAGTAGGGATTCATTTCCATTTTTTTCCATTTGCTCCAAAAAAATCTCCCTCTGTTAAATAAGAAAACAAGTTTCATTAGATAGGTGGAGGTGCCTAGGCAAATACAACCACAAGCATACTAGATGTACCCAAGAAGAGCTTGCTTGCTCTCTTGTCCAGTCACAGATAATGCTGTATGGGAAGCCACAAATAGTGTATTTACAGCATATACCTGCGATGTACTGCTTTCAATATGTAAGAACAGAGTTATACAAGACACAAGAACAACATGTAAGCATATAAAGGGCATTTAAAACAAATATTTGTTAGGCTAGAGCAGAGGTAGGCAACCTCCGCACACCAGCTGTGATGAAACTACAAATTCCATCATGTATCTGCCTTTAAGAGTCATGCCTGTCGCTGTCAGTATCTTGCAATGCCTCATGGGACTTGTAGTTCTGCAAGAGCCGGAGTGCTGAGGTTGCCTACCCCTGTGCTAGAGATACACAAACAGTTTTAATCTCTTACTTCTGAAAGATTTTCCTACTTGCTTGAAGCAACTGCATTAAACCTGAACTCCAGACTTATATACAAGACACAAATTAAGGCAGCTTTTAGTGCAAGCAGCGTACATACCTGAATTTAACTTGGTATGAGCTTTTTTTGCAATGCCCTATACATCATAGCTTAGACTGTGAGAGGGAGAGGTAGTACTAGGAGCAAATTAGCTGTGCTTCAGTGCTTATTTGCTAAGAACATGCTGATAGGTGGAGAGAACAGAATGACAGAGAGATGAGCTCGTCAGTCAGCTACTTCTTCTTTGACTGTCCATTCACAGGCTGGGGGTGGACAAGACTTGTAAGTGTTTAACTGCAGCAGAGAAAAATCAGGTCTCCCCATTCATATAGGGCTGTGCTGTGTGGCAGAGATGTGTAAATAGCAAAATCCAAAGAAGAGGGTCCATGCTGCTTACAGATATGCCAAAGTTTATTGATGCAAAACACATGTACAATGTAGACAGGTACCAAGATAAGGATTTTAAACTACAATATACAGTATGTAGTGTACCTTTTGATATACAGTATATGATTTGCATATGCAAATGTAAAAAATGTTTTGTTTGTTTTTATATTACAAAAATACTTACAAGGAACGTAGCTTTAGATCCATTTACAACCACAGCTTGACACCCGCTTAAAACCTCCATTATGATCTAATATGGGAAGTATAGAAATCATACTTAAAAAAGCAGTAGCATGTTAATTACAGAGGCTGTACTCTTTATAAAGTGCTATAGAGGTCCACACTCCCTTTGTAAAATAGTGGGGTCTCTGAGTTTACATATAAATAAACAACCGTAATACTTCTTGCTGCAGAAACTATCACCTTATCATGACTTGTTTTAAAAATGTTGTCATATTTACAAAGTTCTAATGCTAAAGTTTAATTTGCTAATTGTTTGCCTTCCCTGGTTCCCTCTTTGCCCCCCATCAACATGCTTAAGTATGTTCTTAAATAAAACCTTTTCATTTTCATTACATACCTTGTTTTAGACCTAATTACATAATTGTTTTAGACCTAATGACCAGCCCACATATTTCTCTCCGTTTAGGATTCTATTAGGGACAATTAGGGTTTGGGTCAGGCACTGGATGGTTACAGTTCAGAGGAGGGATAACTGTAAGCTGTTATGTTTCATATATGAACTCCTTGTCTTATTTTAAAGGCATTTATTTATATTTTTGGTGACATTTACATGCAGTCCAAGCTATCCATTACCAACATGACAGTGAGAGCTGTTTAAACTAATAAGGATGGATAAAAGTGTGAGATGCTTACAACTGTCACCTTTGATTCACATGGCTTAAGGCCCTATTCACATTTGGTGGTCCAGTGCAGTGCATTAATGTGCATTGTGTCACATGGCAATGTGTGTTGTGATAAGGCAGCCCATTCATTTAAATGGGCTGGAAACGCACCAAAACAAACCTAAAAATGCACCCACACCATTTTTCTGCCCCATTGCACCACACTGCACCACATACATTGCCATGCCATAGTTCTCATGTATTGGGACCGGGCCCCTTCTGCTGTAAAGCGAGTGCCCTAATCAGCTGCCTGATTTCACTTTTTCTTGCAGCCTCTGTCCAGTGTCCAATCAGACCCTGGCAGAGTGAGGCAAGAAGCAGGCAACTCTGTGCCTGCTGGCGTCCTGTTGGATGGGGCCTGGCCAGAGTATATGCCATCCGATAAATGATGCTGCTTTTAGCTTTATTATTTTCTTTTACCCACAGATCTGTTTTAGGAATTCTCCCTAGACTGAAAACTATCTTACAAACATATTTCTTTGTTTTTGCCAGACAGTATTTAGTTTACCTATTCTTTCTGAAAATTATAGTTAAGCATTAACAGCAAGATTCATCTTCATAAAACTTTATGTGGAGTATAAACCTCTGTAATGAAATTCCTGGTTGAAAATCAAAGTTTTAAAGGTGATTCTTCACATACTCACAATTCCGTAACTATACACATCAGTTTTCACTGACAGATCTCCCCTAATGTACTCCTCTGGCAAATATCCCAGGAACCTCAGAGTGGCATGATCCATCTTGATAGTTTTAATTTGATTTATCAGGTAAGACCACAAATGGACCATGGCAAAGTCTGAGAGCTTTGGTTGAAAATGCTGATCAAGCAATATATTTTTGCTGGAACAGAGAAAATATGAACCACAGTTAGGAGATGGAAAAATTAAGCATGTTTGCAGTGTTATACAGTAATTTGTAAAGTCACACTATAACAGTGACACAAAATAATACAAGTGGGGGTGTTTAATACTCTCAGATCAGTAAGGCATGCTGCAATGGACAGAATGCATATGGTTTACTCCACTAAAAAATAAATCTTGATTATCCTATACTTTTCCAGAACTTCCAGACTTCAGTAACTCCACTGAACACCATATTGGCAATGTGTCCTTCATGTAATTTGGTAGGTGTACAGTGGCTCTGACCAGCAGATTGCACATGAGATGAATTAACCCAACACCATAGAACGTGTTCTGCCCATTCAGAATCCTTTTGGCTGATTCACTAAAGGAGTTGACAATCTTTAATCAATATATTGTGTAAATATTTAATTCAATTATGCCCCCCAAAAAAACACATTCCAGTTTACTTATTTCATCTGCACATGCTTGGGTATTCAAAATAAAGAGGAATTCGATTTTTCCCCATGATTTGATAATTACAGTGAATATTCACACAATTTATTGAGTGGAAATTGTCACCGCCTTTGGTAAACCAGCTTAAATATCTACAAAATGTATACTTTTATAATTTTCCACTCTGGAAAAGGCACTTGTGAAAATATGGTTTTAAAGCTGGACTTCAGGCAAACAGCTATATACTGATGTGATCGAGATATGGAAGTATTTAAGGAATCTTTAATACTGGTTATCTTATAATTCCAGTACTTTTGTTAGATGCCATTGATCAAAATAACCTGATCCCACCCAAGTGTTTTAAAAAATAAATAGTAACAGCATATTGATGATGTCATCCCTGATTATGTCTCTCTCAGTCTGAATGTTGCTGTGCATCCATTGAGCAGATTGTACAGAAATGGGACGTCACACATTTTCCTTCTCCTATGTCACCTATCATACGGCACTCCCAGTTCTTCCCTAGCCATAATGCCCAGTTCTTCCCTAGCCATAATGATCAGTTCATGGGTTAGAAGAAATAAATTCAGAGCGCAGCAATTTTTCTTACCCACAGGTAGGCAGTTAGCCAGAGTCACGGTTTTGCAATCCAGGGTACCAGAAATAGACTTTTGGAAACGTAACCAACTCTCTAATTTTTTGGCGCTTTCTGTTGGACCACAAAACGTTTATCTGCTCACTCACACCATTTGAGAAACTCTGTTCTCAACCTGGTTCACTGCTAGTTACTCTTTCTCTGGTACCCAACAAAAACTGGTAGGACTCTTTGTTGGGTACCAGAGGCTTGCCTCTGAACTCTATTCTTCATAGATGGGAAAAGAACTTAAAAACCACCTTCTGCTCAGTTAGACCATATTATTAATTTCTCCCATCATGCAAAGTAATGCCACCTGAGCCTTCCTGAGTTGCAGAATGCCCATTCCAATTATGGTCATATTATATCAAGCCGTTTCTAGCGGTAGGTCGTTCCTTAGAGACAGAAGCAATGATCAGCCTGCCCCTTTTCTCACCAATATATAGATTTTCTGTACCCGTCCATCCAGTGACAGATTCAGATGCACCATTCCTCACTTTCACCCTTTTTTCTCTCTTTCTCTCCACTATCCCTCTCTTCTCTCTGCTCTCTCCAGCTGAACAGCCTCTCTTCTTCTCTCTCCCTATCCCCTCCCACATTTTTACTGGTTTCTTATTCTCATTCTTGCTTCTTCTATCTTCAACACTCATACAAAACTTACCATGAAGGGATATGCACTTAGACTCGTTGTACCTCTTTGAAGTAAACAGTTAATACACAGTAAAAGCGGGGGGGGGACGGTACACAACGGAGTCAGATAAAACAATACCCTAGACTCACTTTATGCAGTCAACCCAGCAGGCGCCTGCTGCACTTTTTTTTCATTTTTTAATCTGATTACTTCGCCCAGCATTCATTTTAGGGTGCAACTCTCTTATTCTCTTATTGGGCTCACGTTCTTCTGTCTGCACAATTGTGTGAACTGTTTTTGTGGGTTATTTTTGTTATATTATTATGTTTTTCATATATGTGTCTATGATGTATATGGCTTGCTGAATATAAATAAAGAGTTTAAAAAAAAACACATTTCATTATTATAATTTTTTTAATAAGAGGTGTTTTTTATGGCTCTACTTACCTGGTTATGTTTCCACATATTATAGGAGTAGTATACATTGTGTGTAGGTGTTGAATAGCCTTTGCTACTCCAAATAGAATATTGTAGCGTACTTGCCAGGAAAGAGGTAAAGCCTTATCCTATGATATAATGAAATAAGTCAATATGAATACAAATTGATTCACAAAAATAACAAAATTATCTATTAGCAACAATAACAGAAAATATTATGTTAATACACTAAATAATACAATTTTTCTAATATATTTAAGGAAACACTTGTGAACAGATAACAATTGAAACTTACGGTATGATGCAACCTATGGAAGAGGGATCCGTGTTTTAGATATGGGTACACAAAACATGTTGATTCATCGGCTCTGACATATCCAAGCAATTGTAATACATTTGGGTGATGGATTCTAAACAGATGAAAAGTGTTTTAAGCTGAAGAAAGACAGTAAATTATCAAATTATAAGTATGATTGCTTTTCCAGTAGGGTTAATTTATACTAGAAAAAGCTAGTCAGACAGGTTGGGTTAAGGAACAGGGAAAAGGGCAGGGAAGTGTCATTTATCTATGTTATTGGTCTATGCCATCTATGAGCCTAAATTATTTTTTATTGAGGAATAATTAATTAAATGACACATGTTTCTAAAATGTGACTGATGTGCTTAAATGAACATTTGATCTCTGTGTTCGTCTGTTGGTAATAGATATCTTTTCTGGAGTGAATATATTTGGTTTTTCAAGTCTACCATCTGCTTTAACGTATATTTTTGAATGCTCAAACTTTTCCAATCACGAAACATGAGCTAATCACTAACCAATTATGTATTTGTGTTGCATTTAGTGATAATAACATTTCTAAGGGCTGTCATGATTGTCTGTGTCATGTGACTTTAACAAAATACTAACTTTGTTAAATCAGTTATGGCCTATTCAATGTTATTTGCTAGTCTACTTTCTTCTTTTGCTAGTCTACTGTTTTCTCATGAGGGGTCTCCTTCTCAAAGCTTAGACTAAGTGCTCCTAACTAGTAAGTTGTTCTCCTGCTTTGGAGATGGTAACATAGATCACTGCTGGACAGGAAATTAAAGTTCCTGTGAATCTGGATTAAGGTATAATATGGGAGCCAGGTCACTGATTCAGCTGCACTTGTGGGATTAGGTAGAATAGACAAGAATACTTCATCTTCTCTACACCTAGGAGCTGGTATTATAAATATGATGGGAGAGCACATCTTTAAAAATATGATGAAATTGACACCAGTTTACACATACAAAGTCAACCTTTTAGTTCTTTAGAATGATGCACTGCAGTTTAAAGCATATTTAAACCCAAAAACAAAAAATTTAAGATCTACCTCATCGTCCCCTCTTCTCTCTGCAGGCATCCATCACCAAGATTGCCGCCGGCAGGTAACAGCGCATGATGTCATCATGCGCGTGCACAATGATGTCACGTGCGTGCGCGATGATGTCATGACAGGGTTTCACCTGGTGACTGCTCCAGGTGACACCACGCCTCAGGACGCCCCTGACAGGAAGTGACAGGGACATTACATTTCTGGCTAAATCAACATGTACAGTATGAATACGAACGTATTATAATAAAATGAAGATTTCCATTGTCCTTATTTTAATTATTTCTTCTGATTAATTCATATTATTTGTGACCAACTCTAAATAAAAAAATGATAGTAAAAATACTTAACGCTAAATTAAATAAAAACAATAATACAATAGTGCATGCATTTAAACCCAAATTAAAACAATGAATGTGGAAAATGACAAAAAGTCAAACAAGCATTGTTGTCCACTGAAAAGTGTAAAAAGACATTCTCAATGTGTAAAAATGGTGAAGCCTATTTTCAGCGACTGATGATTATTTTTGTGCTCTATCACTCCTGTTTTTTCATATAAACCACAGGAATCATCTGCCATATAAGTGCAATGCCTCTCCTTATCCCCCAGTCAGGGTTAATTCACCAGATCGTCATGACCCTAAAATAAACAAGGACAATATTCCCACCTGGGTAAAGTTGCAATTTCTCCAGAGCTGGGGTTTCTCGGTGCTTGTGTGGGTTTCCTTCACCAGATGTGGCTAAATTGTCCCTAGTATGTGTGTGCGTGTATATGAGGTAGGGACCGTAGCTTATAAGCTCCTTGAGGGCAGGTACTTATGTGAATGTACAGTATGTAAAGTGCTGCGTAAATTGGCAGCTCTGCATAAATGCCGGTGATAAATAAATATGTCCAAATAAAGATCATTCTATACATTCTTACCTAGGTAAGCATTCCCATTGTGCCAGGAATGATTTAACTTGCTTCTGATGGTCTGCCAAAGCATTCTTCTGTACAGGCAAAAAGCAGAAATATTGGTTGCGTTATTTGGAGTAACAATTTTAAAAAGGGGGTTTACAATGAAAATTACCTAATCTAATGAGGGCAAATGAAAATTTTAACATACTAATATATGCACAGTCCACTTTTCTAAAAGTAAAGTGTTATATCTAAACTTTCTTTTAATCCCTGCAAAATGAAAACTGAAAACTTACTGGCTGTGGCTTCTCTACTTGGCAGGTTAATACCCAATAAGAACAGTAAAGTGAGGCCAATCAACTGAGCAGGATTAAAAGTATTATTACAAGATGTATGTTATAGTTCTACTTACAGGAATGGATCAAATTCTAAAGCAAGTCTGCTTATTCTTATTTATCTAAGTTCTTATTTATCCAGGTCACAGTATAACTAATAGTAGTTAGCCACATTAAAGTGGACTTGTTTAATAATATTTACCATCATACAAGTGGTTTTCTTAGTTCAAATGCATGTTGGGAACATACCCCAGAATTTCTACCCAGTCTCAGTAACCTAGATCCAATCACCATTGTGTAGTGAAATGTGTTAAGGTGTAGATGTTAGATGTACAAGAACATAGCGGGAGGTATAAAAACATTAGCTAGAAAATTAGAGGAAAATCTTTAGTGGAAAGATATTTGGGCTCCTTGCAATGTTCTACCAGCACTGCACATTTTAATGAAAATTTGCTTATATTCAAGTGTTTGGGTCGATCTCCCAACCCACAAAGTGTATTGTGGTGTAGATTCTAATATAGCGCCAATATCTGCATATTGCTACAGTGTTTTTCAAACAATAGGCCAGCATGGGAGGACTGAGGAGGATAAACCTGAACTACAATCTCCTATTCCTTACAACCAAGAAAGGTGCCATCGTAGCCTCTATTTGGTTTGCAGCCATGCTGTATGAATGATGGCTCAAAAAAGTTGAAGATCACCTATAATATTGGTATTTGTGATAAGCATGTGCAGCATTTAAAACTTTAAAGGACCTCAAAAGGTACAGCATGTAGAAGTGACTAGGTTTTTAAATTATGATGCAGACCTGTGCCAACATACAGGAACAACCTGCAAGCCATCATTTTTTATAATTGTTCCACTTCTGCAAAGCAAGTTGAGATTCAACTATTGCCTAGAAACAATAATGCACAAAATATCTACCAATAAAATAAACTTACTATAGTGCCATAAAAGCAGACCTAGCAACAAACATATTTTTCATGTAAAATGTGTGTAAGCTGAGTATTATGTAGGTTGTAGGTGGAATACTAAGAGGGGCGTATAACCTGTCAAAGATATCACAGGCTCTCTATAAAAATGCCTATGTTTTCCTTCCTCCTGGCACCATATTTTCTCAGGTATCAACTAGTCTCAGCAATTACGTGGCGTGCTGGTTGTGCGAAGCTGGCCTAAGTATGAGGCAATCCTGTAAATGTTGCCGTATGCCCATTAGCCTTTATTTCATGTATACTGACACATCTCATTTGCTCTTCTGCTGCTTTTCAGTCTTTGGCCAGCCAGTTGCTAAACTCAGTCCTCTTGCTTACCCTATGACCTGAGTGTAAAATCTATGAAAGTATCACACAGCTTAGTTCCCCTGCTGCAGCATCTGACCTGCCAAGAAGGTCAAATGCACAATCAGAGTTAATGGGGGGAAATCTCCCTTCTGATGCAGCAGATTCAGGTGACTACATTTTCCCAGAGTGCTATTTTCATGCATATTTTGAGAAATGGTGCCAAGGCACATTCACCTGCCTAGAGCTCAATGGCTGCTTTCTAAAGGAAAAGATTGCAGTCAATTAAAATATTCTGTTGCAGCACATACATAATGCATTTATGCAGCTTGTAAAGTTACAGATAGAGTTTCTTTCATTGATAACAAAATAACAGTAAGCTGTAGCTATGTAATTATTTCTTCACCTTTTTAAGCAACTTGGCAACACATAACTGTTTCTTAATGTCTGCTTTGTAGACGTCAAAGAACTGTCCTTCTCCAATTAGGAAGTCGCTGCTGAAGTTCTTAGTCCCTTCTTTAATCTCCTGCAAGCTGACAGGTGACAGGACATTAATCTCTATGAAAAAGATGAAAACATGAAAGATGTTATCCCACCATGCATTATTTCACTTTACTAAGCTATTAATTTAGTGGTTGGTCATGAAATGCTTTCAAAGCATTGAACCCTACAAGACAGATGAAACAAAGGACACTCTGAATGTGCAGTTATTTAGATGGTAAATCTGAGTTCCAAAGGCAGACCCACATTTGACACACCTAAGAACAAAGTTACCAGTTAAAATTAATTTCTACTTAATATACTTCTGTACACTGAAAGCTGATTGATTGTTATGAGTTTTAACCCCACATTTTCTACGCTGGATCTGTATAAATTTGCTGGGTATTCTAGGTACAGCTGCTCACTTATATCGGTTGCATGAACCTTCATTTTGAATCAATACTCAGTATAAGTAAGTAAATAACATAAATGTGGCAAAAATAAATAGCATAGATAGTAGTGTTGAATCATATGTGAAACAATTATAGCAAAAATAATCCTATGTGAATCTATTATATATATCATATAACCTTCGTGAATCAATTGTAGAAAAACAATCTTATGTGAATCAATGATAGCAAACAAAACAAAGTGACTAGTGACCGTCACTTGTATCATATATCAGTGTTCTGTAAAATCATAAAAAAAAGTGTCAACTCAATCTTTTACATCAGATTATACAATCTCTCCGTGTGAAATTCTGTTTGTTTTAGATTTGAGTTTATAGCGCCACTCATACTGGTTGTTATATGTTGCTGTACTTTTCATAGCACGACTGTTGCCAGCATTCACTTATGGAAAAACCTCAACAAATGATAAACTAGACTTTTAGAGCTGACAGTACTGGCCGCAGCTTCCTCGGATACAGTAGTATCAACCACAACCATCAACCACACATTGTGAATGCTCAGTGGTACATTTTTAGGGGGCCAGCTGCAAGAACCCAGAAGAGGCAGCTGGCTCCCCATAATGTCAACAAGGAAAATGGTGACGTGCAGAGGTGGGTTTCAACAAATAATGCTGGATTTGCTGTGCGTGGGAATGTTTTTAAAATCCAACCCAGTGGATATGGTAAGAAGAGACTGGTAAATAAAATTAAGAAGGTGTGGGGATGAGGGGGTGATGTTTTTCTTTAAGTCTTATTCAAATTTGAATTTGTTCTTTAATGTTAAATACATTTCAACACCCATCCAAGTAGTTACCTTTGCTAAAAAAATAGTTTGTGCTGAGGAAGCCAATTGGATAACTGGTAAATTGTGATCAACATCATAGAATAAATTAAATGTAACAAACTACTACTACTACTACTAGTTAAATAGTATATGCACATTTATGCAAGGCAAAAAAAAAAAGATACAGTGCCCATAAAAAATGCGTTCAAAATATTGTTTACTATGATTCTAGTTAGTGTTCATGCCAGCGCATTTGAGTTTAGTTTGAGATCAAACACCACTGTTAACATCTGTTAAAAAATGCCCCAGGACACTATTTTTTTAGTTTATGTTTTTTTTATCAGGCAGATTATTCTGACTCAGAATGTTTGAAAACCGTCACATTTTACCTCTGAATAAGGAGATTGCCCTCTGCTGTCCCATTTCCTGTAGAACTAATAACAGATCACCAACAGTCTTATTTTTATGTGCCCAACTCCAGACAAGCTCCTTTGTTCTGCTTTTTCCTTGTTCAGCATACTTCTCAACTTTACGGAAGTCCCTCCAATCGGAAGATAGCCGCTCAGCTGCGGGAAATAAATGTTTTATTACAACATGCATTTACATACCGTATTTTGTGTTGCCATGATCTTAGGTTAGGTTGCCATTTGCTGTTTGAAATAAGCTAATTAAAGTGTTCTTTGGCCAACTGTGTTGGAAAATGCTGTAGAGGAGGACCCTTGCTCTCTGTATGGAAGCAGCGGTCTCTCTACAGAGGTCAGACACCCCAATCTGTAAGCAACAAAGCTCATACTCCCTGCTGTTTGGATAGGTTTAGCTCTGACTCAAAGGAGGGGGGCATTATGAACCTTCCACACAGAGAGCAAGAGTCTTCCTCTAAAACACACTGGCAGGCTTACAGAAATTCAAGACTTTGCACAACTTTTATTTTAATGCACCTGTAATATACAGTATGTAGCTAACTTAAACTGTAATTCAGTGGGGTTTTAACACCAAAAATCAATTTTCTGAGTTTTAATCTGTACACACAAGTTATCGCGAATTTAGATCATCCTAAGTCCAGATCGGGGCAGTTTACTGTAAAAATCCTAGCTTCTTTCATGCTCAAAAGTACATCCAATATCGTACATCTAGTGCTGTGACTGAGTGCTACTGGTCTCATATAGTAAAGGATTGTGTTGTTTACGGTCCCACCCCCTCCTCCTCCTTCCATCCATTCACAGAATGTCTTGCATTCTGTTAAAGATACAAGGCGTTATGTGAAAAGAGGAGGGTGGACATCCTCTTATCCATTAATAAAACAGTTTGTATTTTGTGAACAGAATACAAGACATTCTGTAAATGAATGGACAGAAGGGGGTGGATGGGGCAGCTTAATGATACAATCCTTTACGGGTTACACATGTTATATATTTGGAGTTTTGTAGTATGCCCTATACATCAAGACAGATAGGGTTTTAGTTTGGTAGTAAATTTAGATACATACAGTATATTTTTATTGTTACTTTATTATTACTCATGAGTTTATGAATATTGGTTGCGAATACCACAGAAAACCATATACAGATATTAATACTAGCTGACCTGAATGTCATTCGGGAGTCCAAATTTCCGAATACCATTCGGGAGCTCCAGAAAGCAATATGGGTCTGGGAGCCATATTAAACCTGAGGCTTCCAGACCTGAATGGCATTCGTTAGCTCTCAAATGCTATTCAGAAATTTGGACTCCATTCGGGTCTTGGAGCATCAGTTTTAGTATTATATATATATATTTAGTATTAACGAATGGCATTCGGGGGCTCCCGGATGTAATTCGAAAATTCGGATTCAGACCCATTTGAATGCATTAAACCGAAAAACACATCTGATCGGCCAGAAAAGTCGCATGTTCAATTCAATGTAGTTGTTGAACGAAATTCGGAGGGGATCCAAAATTCACAAACGGAAATTTGGATTCGGATGCATTTGGATGTGTTCGAATGTCCGAACTTTGGAAAATTCATACGAATTTTGATTTGGAACAAAACTAAACACAAATGTCTATTGGAAACCCAGAAGCTGATTGTGTTCCCATTAGAACATTTCCCACATTCTGTTCCAGTGACAACTGCCAAATATCATCACTTACTGTATCAGAGACACTGGTCACCCGGACAAATAGAGAGAGTGGATTTCTCCAGATGAAACAGCAATAGAAACCTCACGGGGTTTAATACTTTCTTACTCCATTCACAACTAAACATCATACACTTTAAGTACAGAAGAAATGCTTTCTAACTGTATTATGTGCTGTCATACTAAAAGAGGAATATCATGATTAAAGCCAAATAAAAAGATGTAATTAAAGCCTATCTCGAATTAAAAGAAAACTGGTTGTTATTGTCTAAGGGTATGGTGTACCTACCTGATCCCAATCGCCATTGCTCACCTCTCTATGCTCCGGCTTGTGGATTGTCCCTTGGCACCCTCACATGTACTGCAGGGCTATGGGCCCTACATTAGATGTTACGATGTCAGTTGGCCTAAGACCGACGGAGTGTAGTGGGGAAGAGGCTGCGGTTGCTAGTCTCGGAACCAGTGGGAGAGGTGATCAGGTAAGTAAAAGTGCTTTACACCGCTTGCCTAGACAAAAATTAACATTTAACCCTTGCAGTGTGGGGGTAGCCCCAGTGCAAGGGCAGTTTTTTTTTCTTTTTGTAACTGGAGATAGGCCTTTAATAAATCAGTCAAATATTTATTCCAAAGCAGGTGTTGGTCATGTAAGAGGTATTCCTTACTTACCCAGGCCTCTCCATCCTAAATCTCCATCACTGCAGTCCATCAATTCACAGAAGGTTTCCATAATAACTGGAGGAACGTCAAAAAGAGATGTGCTACAACTGGGGCTACAATTTGCCATCGTTCAGATATGAAAATCACTTTATCATTAGGGGAACTGACTTCTTACATACTATTAAACATGTTGTAGAAGTCCATAGAGGGCAGGAATTTCCCACGCAATACACGCCCAGCAAGTGAACAATTACTTCAGAAGGGAAATCCTGCTATTGCACAAGTGCAGAGCGTACAGCTCTCCATGAACAGCTGGAGCTTGTAAAATATGTGCCTTGTGGGGAAAACACATTTTTGATCTCTCTGTCAGAGCCAGCATAATAAAATGAGCGTAGTAGGTTAATAAGTGAAATTTATCAATATAGACATGTAACCAAAATAAGGTATAGAGCCGATTACAGTATATAAAGAGGCTGTGAGGGGTTAGAGCTACTTTAAAGTGTATTTCCGCACTTGCTGCCAAATTTGGCTAAAACTTACTTTATATTTGTTAACTTATATTTGTAACATGTTCCCATTCATTTATATTTGTTACTTTTTCCCATTAATTTATATTTGTTACTTGTTCCCTTACACTTACGGTATATTCGTTACTTGTTCCCTTTCACTTATATTTGTTACTTGTTCCCATTCACTTATATTTG